ATCCTTACAATAACTGACTTATTTAGCAGTGTGCCTTATATCTGAGATAACCTATTGGTAATTTTAAGTATGTGTTCATATTTATGTAAAATTGCTTTTACTCTGTTGAAAGTAATTTGCTAAAAACCTTATATTTTTAGCCATAAATAGGTAAAAATAGCTGAAAGTAACTAAAAAATTTAAATAATTAAATAATATTACATATAATACAATATATGCACCAACAGCTAATAGACTTCTAGGTAATACTAACTTTAGATAAGCTATGCTCCCCTAGAGCATATTTTAAGAAAACTATCTTGGAAAGATTTTATTGATTCAAAATTAGGGGAACCACTTAAAATTTACTCCAATGATCATATTCAAAACAATAAAAATATGAAATTTGAGTTTTCCAGTAATATGATCTCATCCTTTATAAATTCATTGGCTTCTATTTAATCTTGAGGCATTGTTTTCTTATAAAATGTAATTTGAATCTAAAATTTGAGTTTTCCACTAAGGGCCCGTTTGGATTGACGGAAATTAAGAATCTTAGACATTTGAAATCCAAAAAACTCTATAGATTTTCAATATCAAAGATTTTTGTCATGGATTCATCAAATCTCTTAGTTTGGATAAACTATACAAAATTCATGGATTCCTTGCAAGCACTTCCATGTCCATTGTTTCGTAACTAAACTTGATACAATTTATCTTTCTAAAAATTTTATATACTCTCTCTCTCTAAAACTCAAAATTTAGGATAGTGTATCTATAAAAAATTTGAGATAGTTTCTCTCTTTAAAATTTGATATGGTTTCTCTCTCTAAAATTTAATATACTTTCTATCCAAAATTTAAAATTTGAAATTGTCAATCTAAAATTTTTGAGATAATTTATCTCTCTAAAATTTTTAGGTGCTTTACTCTCTCTAAAATTTAATATAGTTTATCTTTCTAAAATTTAATATAGTTTCTCTTTCTAAAATTTTAAGATACTCTCTCTCTCTAAAACTTAAAACTTGAGATAGTTCCCCTCTTCAATAATTTTGAGATAGTTTTTCTCTCTAAACATTTTTGAGTAGTTTCACTCTCTAAAATATGATATAGTTGTTCTCCCAAATTTTAAGGTACTTTCTCTTTTTAAAAACTAAAATTTGAGATAATTTATCTCTAAAAAATTTGTGATAGTTTCTTTTTCTAAAAATTTTTATGTACTTTCTCTCTCTAAATTTTGATATAGTTACTCTTTTAAATTTAAAGATGCTTTCTCTCTCTAAAATTTCAAGTTTGAGATAGTATCTCTCTCTAAAATTTTGAAGCAGTTTCTCTCTTGAAAATTTGATATAGTGTCTCTCTAAAATTTGATATACTTTCTCTTTCTTAGGTTTAAAAATTTGAGATACTTTCTCTCTCCAAAATTTTTGAGATAGTTTTTATCTCTAAAATTTTTTAAGTAATTTCTCTCTCTAAAATTTGATATAATTTTTATCTTTACAAGTTTAATATATTTTTTTCCTAAAATTCCAAAATTGATATAGCTTTTCTCTAAACTAAAAAATTGAGATAGTTTCTCTCTCTAAAAAACGAGATATTTCTCTCTCAAAATTTTTTTTCGGCAGTTTCTCTTTCTAGATTTTATAATAATTTCTCTCTAAAAGTTTCATTATACTTTCTCTCTCTATAATTTTAAGAATACTTTCTCCTTCTAAATTTAAGACTTGATATAGTTTCTCTATCTAAAAATTATAATATGAGATTGTTTCTCTCTCTAAAACTTTTGAAATAGTTTTCTCTCTAAAAAATTGAGATAGTTTTTCTCTCTAAAAATTTACATGTACTTTCTCTCTCTAAAATATGATAGTTTCTCTTTAAAACTTAAAATCAGAGATTGCTTCTCTTTCTAAAATTTTGAGATAGTTTCTCTCTCTAAAATTTTTTGGTACTCTCTTTAAAATTTTAACATGCTTTCTCTCTCTAAATGTTAAGATTTGATATAGTTTCTTTCTCTAACATTTTGATATAGTTCAACTCTCTAAAAAAAAATTGTACTTTCTCTCTCTAAAATTTTAACATATTTTATCTCTCTAAAATTTTAACATACTTTCTCTCTCTAAAAGTTAAATTTTGAGATAGTTTTTATCTCTAAAATTTTGAGATAGTTTTTCTCTCTAAAATTTTGAGATAGTTCATTTCTATAAAAAAATTGGTACTTTCTCTATCTGAAATTTTAACATACTTTCTCTCTCTAAAAGTTAAAATTTGAGATAGTTTCTTTCTCTAAAAATTTATCTCTAAAAATTTTGAGATAGTTTCTCTCTTTAAAAATGTAGATCCTTTCTCTCTCTAAGATTTTCATACCTACCAAATACTCTATGTTTCGGGTCGAGGGAGCCAATGAATGAAATGCATGGGCTTCGGAAATGCAAAACAACCGGTTTTGGTGTGGAAATGAAAATATGGAAAAGTAGGTCATATTTTCATGATTTTGTTTTTCTTGATTTTAAGTATCCTAGTCATTAAGCAAGTCAAACGGTGAATTTTGGCAAATTTTAAGATATTAGGAATCCATACTTTAAAATCTCTTTACCCAAATAGACCCTAATTTTGATATCATCTTTTACAAATTCGTTGGTTTTTATTTAATATTGAGGCATTATTTTCTTATAGCCTGTAGGGAACGTAATTTCGAAATTCTTTTAATTGAATATAACATTGGGTTGAAGAGGATATATCCCCAAAATTTAGAGTCCAAAATGTACTCCTAGTACCGTGGGAGCATTTTTACACATTTAGTCCCTCAGGCAAAATACTAAGGAAATTTATTTGATTTGAAATTTTCAAAAACACTTAAAAGTCACTAGATGAAAATATTCAAAAGCATTTTTACACACTTACTCCTTCTAGCCAAAGACTAACTCAGGAAAGTTATTTGATCTGAAATTTCAAAAGCACTTAAAAATCATTAGATGAAATATTCAAAAGAACAAAATTTGAACTGTAGTTTTCGAACACTAAAATCTCGCCCTTCAAAAATTAAAGGGCTTCTATTTAATCTTGAGGCTTATTTTTTTACGGCCCCATAAATAATGCAATTTGGGATTTTTTTGTTTGTTAATCTCATGTACCTTGAAAGGCTATATCCCTAAAATTATTTAATTTTGATCTAGAGAGTAAATGAACACCATGATCCCTTGGTAGCAGGAAATGTTTTGTCATGAATACTGCATGGAAGTGACACGAGGTCCGTGCCCACCTGGGGCATGGATTTCCAAAGATGACCGTTGGATCAGATGCATGTTGACCGTTGATGGACCCCAATGTGACCGTTGGGATCTCAAAGATAGCCTATAAAACCTTCCACATCTCCCTCAATCAAATCCTTTCTGAAATTACTCTCAGTTTATTCGCACTCAAAGTGCGTTATTCTCTCTGCAACTCGTCTCTCCTCTCTCTCAGTTAACTTTCTCCTGGTGGCAAGGAGCTTCTCGCTACAACCAGGGAAGAGGATTCCCTTTCCCTCTCTAAAATTAATTTTGAAGGAGTGTCTCTCTCTAAAACCAGGCCATGCATGATAGGAACTGGAAATCACTTCCTATAACAGGTAATTTCTCTCTCTAAATCCCTCTTTCTTCGCTCCCATCATCTGTTTTTGTTTCTTGCCCATCTCTCTCTCTCTCCGTCAACCGATTTCTCTCCTTCTCCTCCACCGACCATTTTTTTCCCTAAATTCCTCTTTCTTCTTTTTTCTCTCCCATCGCTAATTCACTCTCTCTCTACATATACTGATCTCTCTCCCTCTTCCCCACCGATCATTTTTTTCAATTTAAATGGAGGTGGAGAATCCCTTCTGCCCCGCCCTCTCTACACCTTCCCTCTCCCTCTTCTCCTCTCTGCAGTCTCCCTTTCCCTCTCCCTCTCTCTCCTGATCTTTGAATCTGCCTCTCTCTTTCCCCCTTTTGTCTGCAACCTCTTGATCTGTCTCTCTCTACAGGAAAAGAAGCCCTAATCCCTCGCAGCCCTAAAACCAGGAAGCCCAAATATATATATATATATATATATATATATATATAAAGTAATATTGATTTACCTTGTAGTTACTGAGAAAACCCTATCTTGACTCTCGACTATCCCTTTGAGTGTAGGCCATTTGGCACAATAGTTAGTGCTTTCAATTATTTGTGTTATGGTACATGGAAACAGAATATCCTAGGTTGAGCTGAAAATGAAAACTGAAGAAAACGAGATTCATATGAATATGATTTTTAATGTCAAATTGGGGGCTGTAGAATTTAAAGAAACAAGAAAATATAGAAGATTTGTGAAATCTAAGGACATAGGTGTGCATGTTAAATTTGAAATGTATTGATAAATTTTGAGAATTCCATCTTTCTATTAAGCCCAAGAATATTCCTTCCCATATATTATTATTCTCAAGAATATCCTAGGATCAACTCATGATCTCCTGCCGGTATTATGGTTGTCTTCCTAGCGTAAATTATTCCACTCTAAAGGTGAGAATTAGGGTTATTACCAGCAATAGTCATTTGAGGCCTAAGATACCCAAATATATGACATGGAAGTGAGGACTAGTGATAGGAATCTACAATTTTCAAAATCCAAGATGCATGCTGATACAAGTTTTCCCTTTCGACTTACATGATATAATGGAAACATATATGTTCTGTTTTTGTTATATGTTTATATTTGTGTCTTTTTATACTAAAAGTACCTTGGATTGTCTTTTTTTGGGTATCAGTGTTGTATTGTGTCGACACCCATGAATTAAGCATGTACAAGTATCCAATAGTGGAACTGTTGAATATACCTTTCTCAAGAAAATGTCCCTTTAGACATGTTTGATGAAGAATTAAATACTCACTAGCTCTAGGGAATGGTACCGAGTTTTGGAATTGATATCTTTTTTTTTTGAGGTAAATTTTTTATTTTGGAATTGATATCTAAAGGTGATTTCAGTGACTTAGCATGTTGTTAGGAAGCTTGTCTTGTGAACCTTTTTATTATGGTTGATGGTTTCTGCAATCATGTTAGATGAACATCTTATGGGGATGTAATTTTGGGAGACAAATTGTAAGTGAATTTTAGAATTAAACTGCCATGTTTAAAAAGCCTAAAGTGGGTATCATTCCTAAGTATTAAGCTAGGAATTATGATCCTTTTCTTGTAGTTTTATTTTTTTGAAAGCTAAGTTAAGGGAAACGGATGCACCAAGTTGCTCCCGGAGTTGCAAACAAAGGAAAGGAAGACGCATAGTACAGGAAGAAGGGGAGGTGAAATGGGAGGAGTAGTTATGCATTGGGGCAACCCCCACTCACTAGCTCTAGGGAATGGTACCAAGTTTTGGAATTGATATC